CCTGTGGGAAGTCTGGTGGTAAAAATCCTCTACATATATAATTATCAGTGGCTTTTTTTTCCATTTAATTTATTTATTGGATGTTGCAGGGCGGGGGCCACTTGTTTGTCCCCGCCGCCCCGGCTAGCTTAGCCCTGAAATAACCATGCAGAAACTGTATTATTTAAAACACTGCTGGCCCATTAGCTCTAACTTCTTATTGGCCAACTCTTACATCTTAATTTAACCAATCTCCATTAACCTGTGTATCACCACGAGGTCGTGGCCTACCAGCAAAGTTGCAGCACATCTCCAGCAGTGGATCCATGGCGTCTCTCTGACTCCGCCCTTTCCCCCAGCATTCAGTCCAGTCCCCCCCTGCCTAAATTCTTCCCTATCAACAGGCCAAGGCAGTTTCTTTATTCATTGATGGTGATCACAGCACACAGAGGGGACTCCCACATCAAGTGGAGGTACGAGTGTGTGCCATGGTGGGTGTGTGGAGGGCAGAGAGAAATTTTTAGGGATCAGTTCTTTTCCCCCACCATGTAGGGCCCAGGGATTGAGCTCAGGTCATTAGGTTTGGCAGTAGGTACCTCTACTGCTGAGCCATCTTGCTAACCCTTATAGGTATTTTGTTATTTGTTTCTTTTTAAAACAATTACTTAATTAAAACATTGGGAAATATAGGACAATATAAGTAATATCTGCTGTGTGAAATCTTGGTTTCAGTAGTATGTGTATACATATACACACATGCCTTCACACAATACAAAAGGGAATTTCATCCTGTTGCTAGTGGTTGGGAAGGTTTGGGGGTGGGGGCACATAACTGAAGAAGGCAGGCATCAGGTATAAAATGAAAACGTCTGGAGTTAGTAGTATCCATGTATTCCACAGCTGTTTCTTCAGTGTTCCAGCATCAGATGGTTGTGTGAAGACTGCCTAAAACTGTGAATGGCACAAAGCCCACGTTAGAGTGACCCCTCTGCTCTGAGTGAGTTTATAGTCCAGATGGAAAGAGAAGCCACAGGAGCAAGTCAGTCAAGGAACCATCAGTCCTGAAGTACTACCCTGATGATAGCCAATGATTCCAGAAAACCAATGCAAGCACTAGCAATTGGGGAGGGTTTCAGGAAAAAGCTATCGCAGATCATTTACTAATTTATCTAGAGCTGGGCGGGCGGTGGTGGCACACCCCTTTAATCCCAACACTTGGGTGGCAGAGACAGGTGGATCTCTGTGAGTTCGAGGCCAGCCTGGTCTACAAGAGCTAGTTTCAGGACAGGCTCCAAAGCTAAAGAGAAACCCTGTCTCGAAAAACTAATTACTTATATATCTAGGACTCTAGGCAAGCATTTTACCACTGGACCACATCTGAATTTAAACTGAATTTGAAATGGGAGAATAAAGTAGGGATAAGAGCTTCTCAGGTTGCCGTGTGGAGGGAGCCTGCTCTCTAATCTTCTCTTGTCTACTCTAGCTCTCCCAGAGCCCACGTGCAAATGAGGCAGAGTTGTAGGTGACAAGAAGGGAGCAGCTGGATGCTCAGGATAAGGTCTTCAGGTCCTCTTCAACTGCTTCTGAGGTGGAAACAGCCAATGAGCCCAGCTGAGGTGATGATGTTTTGCAAGTAGGCAAAGTTGAGCGCCCCAAGATGGCAGTCGCTCGACCCAGAGGAAAGTTACTCAGAACAATGAGGAAATCCCGGAGTCTTCTAAATAAGAAGACAGAAGGATTTTTCTCTAGAGTGTTGATCCACAAACATTTTATGGGGTAGATTGGAGGGGGAGAGGGAGGCCCGACAGGAAACTACGCACTGGTAGAATGAAGCATTGCATAGAAAGTGCTGGACTGGCAAAGGGTCAGAAATAAAGCTGGCTGCTGTGCAGGAGTGTCCTGGAAACCTGAAACTTGAGCCATTCCAATGAGGTGACAGACACTCCAAGGCAATGATTATCAGTGTCACTTAACGGCCACTACATTAATGATAAATATGGTTTCTTCATATTCATGTGCAAAATTATGTGCTAGCTATGTTTGTGAGATGTGTTCATTCTCAGGGGAAAAAAATGCCAAATATCTCCTAACTTGGTATAACAAGCATTCTTAGGTATAACAGACAAAGATATTCTTCTTGTACAGATTTTCTTGGTTGTGAGCTTGTTAGGTTGAAAGTCAGCGTTAATTCATTTTGATACTCATGGTGTCTAAAGAATATCCAGTCTGTTCAGGGAACCAATAAGATCAATGACTGAGTAATCAAGGAAAGAATTATCTAGATTCATAATATCAAAACAATATAGAGTAAAGCATAGCAAGTGACATAAGTAGATCCCAAGCTATGGGAGACTAATGGTCTCCATCCTTTAAGGTCAGGGCAATTTCTACAGTGTGCCTCCCTGAATCTTCTTGGGTCATTCTTCCATGAAGGACACTGAGCCTACCTTGTATGTTGCCTCAATTATTTATATATTATCAGATTCTTTAATATGCTAGGAAATCTTTTCAAATCTTATTTTTGAAGAGGGAAACTTACAGTTTTCCTTGAAATCACAAATCCAAGTTTGACAGATGGTTCTGAGAGTAAAGGTACTGATGACCTGACTTCAATCCCAAGAGCCCACATAAAGGAAAAAGAGAACTGACCACTGCGAAGTGCCCTCTAACCTCCAGGCATGCATTGTGGCAAGTGTGCTCACACTGCACACACACACACACACACACAAATAAATAAATAAATATGCAAATAAGAAAGAGATTATAAAATAGTCCACTTAGAAATAAATTCTCTCGGACTAATCATTTTTCAAGAGTTCTAGACCAGACTCTGCACAGAGATAAAAGGAATGAGGCAAACTTTTCTGGACCTGCCTAGGGTTAGACACATTGTGATGCTCCAGGACAGCGTGCACTACGTAGTTTTCTTTCCATGTGCTGTGTATCAGTTTCCTCTGAGATCGAACCATTATACCCAGGAAGCCCTTTAGGACAGATGGTAAGCAACTCAAAATAGCTTCAGGTAATCCCTGAAAATAACCAGATTCATTAGGCCCCTCCCTCCTAA